ATCTTGCTTTCTTAAAGTCTTCTTTGACTCTCATATATCAATGACACCAGTTATATTTTCTCAGATCACCCTGTACTTTCCTTGTGGGCCTCAGGAAAGATCCAGTGCTATCTTCTAAAACAAACTTCCAAGAGACATTTGTACAAACGCAGAAACACTAGGATCTCAGTAGAATTTCACAAAACCATTTTTAAATCAAAGCCCTTACCATTCTTTTTCCTTGCCCTAGACTGCTATTAATGAACCCAGACATTCTCTCACACCTCTTGCCTTTTAGGTATCTAAGAGCAAATTGTCACAGGGTGGGGAGGTCGATATTTAACCTGAATCTAATTGGACTCAGGAACAAAGTAATTCAACCAATTCTTTCTACCTTTCTCTGACATTTATAACTACAGCTGGCAAGAAAACAGCCATATTTTTTTCTATGGCTAGCCTGGTGAAAAACACCTTACTGAAAAGACATCTACAAAAGAAATATCAGGGACTGTAAAATCTGATAAAATGATTTTGAGGTATATTTCCCATATGAAGAATGCTGATTTATCTCAACATACAATCAAATAACACATGCATATAGTACCAGGGCATTTCAAAGACACAGGTAATAAACTGCATTTACAAATATATACCATGCTCTTTTTTCCCCAAGTAACACGATAGCTTCAATGATCTTGGGGAGCAGTGGTGAAGGCAATTATGTTCTTGGCTCCTTTATGGAAGATACATAATTTAGCAGTAATGTTAACAATCCATGCATTATCCATTAGTAGTGTCATTTCACTCTGCTTTGCAGCCCTCTATGTTTTTAAATGCTCTAGGTGAGGTTCTGTTTTAAAAGTTAAAGAACAAGCGAAAAGCTAAAGAACACTACATTTCTATTTCCAAAATTATTTTTCCATAAATCTATTTGTTTATCTCTGTGTTTCTTTTTCTTTCTTTCTTTCTTTTATTGAGACAGAGCCTCGCTCTGTCGCCCAGGCTGGAGTGCAGTGGTGTGATCTCAGCCCACTGTAACCTCTGCCTCCTAGGTTTAAGTGATTCTCCTGCCTCAGCCTCCCGAATAGCTGGGATCACAGGCATGCACCACCATACTTGGATAATTTTTGTATTTTTAGTAGAGACAGGCTTTCGCCATGTTGACCGGGCTGGTCTCGAACTCCTGACCTCAGGTGATCCACCACCTTGACCTCCCAAAGTGCTAGGATTACAAGCATGAGCCACTGCACTCAGGCCATCTCTGTGTTTCCCTGTAATGCAATGAATACTTGAGGTTGATTTTTTAAAAATCCCTTGCATTTTCAATGTTGACAATGGTGACTTTGTCAAATACATATATACGGATATATATATGGATATATACATGGATATAGATATAGATATCCAGTTTTCATAAAAATTAGCCACAACTGGAAAATAAGCAAAAGAGAATACTGGGTGTGTTTCAGTATAGTGCTATGCTTGACTCTTTTATTAGTTTCTATTGATTGAGCTATTTTACACATCTATAAGATTAGGTTACAGATTTTTGGCACATAGAGATGTAAGTAATTTTTTTTTTTTTTTTTTTGAGATGGAGTCTCGCTCTGTTGCCCAGGCTAGAGTGCAGTGGTGCAAACTCGGCTCACTGCAACCTCCACCTAGCAGGTTCAAGTGATTCTCCTGCCTCAGCCTCCCGAGTAGCTGGGATTACAGGCACACACCACCACGCCTGGCTAATTTTTGGTATTTTTTTAGTAGATACAGGGTTTCACCATGTTGGCCAGGCTGGTCACGAACTCCTAACCTCAGGTGATCCACCAGCCTCGGCCTCTCAGAGTGCTGGGATTACAGGCGTGAGCCACCATGCCGGCTGAGATGCAAGTAATGTTTAGCCAGAGGAAAAGATAACCCAAAGCCTATTCTTTTATGTTTCTTGTAGGATATTAACTAATTCTGTATGTAACCCAACAGTCTTAATATTCCCTTATTAAATTGCCTATAAATGCCTACCTCCTCAAATTTTCATATTAAATGACTTTAATATCTTACTAGTTCCCTCATTAAGTAATGGGCTGAATCAAAATCATTGATACATGCTCATTTACATTTGCATGGAAGTCATGACTTTACCTTTCTGAAAATTACATTCTAACAGTTTTAGACGTTCTACCAAGATGTCCAAGTTGACTAAACTGACACAGTCAAGTACATTGCTCCTTTCATACACACACAAATATCCCTTACTGAACTCTGAGCTCAGAATCGCTATCTCATTTACATAAACCAAAACCTTAAATTTTAGAATTTCTGGTTTAGATGGTATACACTTTTGGAGGGGCCTTTATTTTATCTTTGTATTCTTAGGATCCAGCATCATGTCAAGTACCTAAAATGTGTTCAATAATGGTTAGGTGAATTAATGAAGCTAGAATACACCACATATACAATGGCAACACCAACTGAAGGAGAGAGATATTCCAGTCAAATCCTAGTTGTCTTTGTAACTATCTGGTCAGCTAGAGGAAGGATGCCAAGTTCTAGACACTCTCAATGTGAAGACAGAGACTCCCCCAAAATGGTAGAAATTCTCGTTTTACAAAGACAAGGTGGCTGATACATAACAGAATTTAAAACTTCCTGCAAAGAAAAGAGTGAACCTTTAGCTCCCTAAGAGCTACAGCTCTTAGCAGGCACTATAGACCTACAAGTTGCAATGTCCTAAATACCACAAAAGTGGACATAATCTTAATTACTTTTAACAAAATTTTTCCAAAAATATTTTTTAAAATTTCCATACAAATGTACTTCAATTCCATCATAACAGTAAGTTAACAGAAAATGTTTTCTGAATTCACCTCAAAAGACCAAATTTTCTTAGATGTATTTACTTTATAAAGAACATACTAGAACTGTGGAATATGACATAGTATCTACAAGGCACCTGAGTTCCAGGAAAGCAAGCACAATGTATAAATGCAAAGTAATAGCATCAAAGCAATGGACTAGGATTGGATGCTAATCTTGGCTTTGTCTCTAGCCTAACTTGAAAAAAAAAAAAAAAAATCTGGGTCTGGTGCGAGGGCCTGCAATCCAGCAGTCTGGAAGCAGAGGTGGAGGACTGCTTGGAGGCCAATAAGTTCAGAGACCAGCCTGGGGCAAAGTAAGTAGTGAACCCTGTTCTGATTTAAGAAAAAGGAAGGGCGGGCGCGGTGGGGCTCAGCCTGTGAAATCCCAGCACTTTGGGAGGCCGAGGACGGGCGGATTCACGAGGTCAGGGATCGAGACCATTCTGGCTAACCAGTGGAGAACCCGTCCTACTAAGAATACAAAAAACTAGCCGGGCCGGTGGCGGGCGCCTGTAGTCCAGCTACAGGCAGGAGAATGGCGTGAACCCCGGAGGCGGAGCTTGCAGTGAGCTGAGATTGGCCACAGCACTCCAGCCCGGGTGACAGACTCAGACTCCGTCAAAAAAAAAAAAAAAAAAAAAGAAAAAGAAAACATAAATCTGTTTCGGGACATGAAAGATTATTAGAATCAAAGTTACCTATTGAACAAGTTATGCAACACACACTCAAATACTATTTGCTACCGGAAAATTATAAACGGGTACACACCTGCATCACACTGCCAACAATATAGGCCTACCTGATAACTACACTCACACTTCCCTGTGGTCAAAGGGCTAATTACTATCTACACATTTCCCCCTTTGCTTTTAATTCAGGCCAGAGTTCATTATCACCACTCAGCACACTTTTCATTTCTTCCCCTTTCCTTACAGAATTGGGCTGCACATGGAAGTAAGGTCAATTTAATACTTTAGCACTTAGTATACCAATGGAATAACTGTCTAGCTGCCACTAGTCATCTCTGCCAGGTTCTTTAAAAAGATACGACTTGGTGTTTGCCCTGAGGAAAGCAATACTTCCTTGTAAGAATTATGAAAATAATGGAAAATCTGCAACTCTCAACGCATGAGGAAAATGTCCTTAACTTTAAAATACACTACTTCCTTTCATTTATAGAAATTTAATGTATGAGGATATATTTTCCAAGTATAGTCTTTTAAATTAATCTTTATTTTTTCTTTATTATTTTAGAATGTATTCTTGGTTATTTTGCACAAAAGGCAGAAAGGACTAAGTCTGCATTAATGGCAAAGAAAGCCCCTGCTCAGCAGGCATGATAGCTGATCTCGCAACTATTCAGTCTTTAAATGTCTTGATCCTACAAAAGGATTTATTATAAAAATGATCATATGGTTAGTACCTAAATTCAGAAGAAGACCACCACCATCTACAGGAAAGATGCACCCTAGCAATGCACCCAAACGTGAAAGACTGATTTGCAGGAGTTGCCCCCTTTTTGTTCCTTAAAATGATTTCAAGTCCTAAATCGCAATTTGGTCGTGAAGACACCAAATTTTCTAAGGGTAATCTCTTGTAAACAGGTAAGACACCGTCTGCAGGAAGTGGGAAGGCGCTTTAAATTTACCTTTAGAACTGTAAAATGAATAAGAATATCATGACTCACTGACATTTCACACATGTGAAACATCCATATTACAAAAAACCATTGCCTCATAAGTGGATACCCCTGACAAGCAAACCGCCTAGGGGAAACACTCCCAAAGAACTTAATTAAAAGTAATTACCCGGCCTGAAAATGTGCTTTTGTTTTAGAAACTGTCTAAATACCAGCGGGACTTTCTCTTGCCCGATTCCAGCCTGAGGACAACAAATTGGTCAACGGCGGAAGTAGCCTGACGAAATGACTGCAACATGAAATCCAGTTTTATGATCATAACAAAACCTTCCTTCCGGGACCAGGCAAAAAAACTTGAGAAACGTCCTTCAGAATGCAACAGGCAATTGTGAGCCCCCCATTGCCAGCCAACGAGAAACTGCTCGGCCCCGGGACTCGAGCCCTGTGGGAGGAACAAGCTGCTCCCCGTTAGAAGCCCGGGGGACCACGGGCCCGGCCCCCAACCCGCCGGCCGCCCCGGCCCCAGCACTGACCTTCCGCAGGGCCGAGACCAACAGTCCCCGCCATTTCGGACTATTCTCCTCACTGAAGAACTCGTAAGGCTGCGGCGCCTGCTGCATGGCCCCGGCGACAGCGCCTCCGCATCGGGGGCAGCCCGCGGGCCGGGCCGGTGGCCTGACAGGCAGGGCGCGGGCCGCCTCGCCTCGCCGGCGGCCGCCGCCTCCCGCCCGGACCGAGGCTACGGCCGAGGCGGCTGGGAGGCGGCGCCGGCGGGCAGGCGGAGACCCCGGGGTCGACTTCCTCCGCAGGGGCGGCCCTCGCCTCCTGCAGTGCCCGCAGAGGAAGCGCGGCGACCCGCGAGTCCGGGCGACCCCCGGCGGTGACCTCCTTTCCCGGCGGCGCTGGCCCGCTTCTGGGGCGGCTCCTCCTCCTTTGTCTGGGTTCGCGGCCCGGCAGGGGTACAGCTGGCCCAGCCCCGCCCCGACTCCCGCTACGGCCGCGGCGGGCGGTGAGCAGCGGCGGCGGCTGCTTGTCTCCTCATCGCCTCCTCCCTGCCCTCCCAGCCGACAGCGCCGCCCGGCCCGGCCCACTCGAGTCACCTCCACAAAGCTCTGGGGACCGACCCGCAGTGCGCGTCGGGCGAGCGAGCCTCACTATGGCGCGCACAGCGCCGGCCGCCGCTGCTGCCCGTTTAGCAGCCGCACAGAGTGCCTCGGTGTCGCCGCCGAGCCCCGGGTCCCAGCAGCCGAGGCTCGGCCCGCCCCCTCGGCCCGGCGCTCATAATCCCGAGTAGCCCGAGAGGCCTAACACGGAGCATGCGCGCCGCGGAGCAGGCAGAGGTGCCTTCCCGGCGCTGGGGTGCGGGGCCTGGGGGCCCGGGGGAGTCCGCTTTTCCTGGGACTGTACCGGGGGCCGCTCCAGACTCTCCAGTTTGACTGCTTTTTCCCCATATGCCCCCTCCTTTCGACCTGCTCAAGACAATCCGAACTCGGTGCCACTCTTGTGGCGCCTCGAGCCCCAGCACTACCATCGTAGGAGGCTGTACAGGGACGTGGAAAGAAAGGGTCATTCGGGCTGGACGGGATATTTAACGTATTTGTGCTCTATGTGGCTTGTTTTCATGAGTACTGTATGCTTATACAAATTATACACTATATATAGTATATCGTTAGGAGATATAGTAACTGTTTCTTAGGGTGATGGTGTGGGAACCGAGAGATGAAGCGTGGAAAGCCCTTGCCTGGTGGTAGGGTCAGAAGGGGCAGATGACAGTGACGTTGATCAAGCTTGAATTGAAAGGTCTGTCACTTGCACGGGCCCTTGTGCGTTCACAAAATCATATCGTTTTTACAAAACTTTCAAAAGATATTTTCGAATTGTTTTCTTAATCGTGTCTTCCAAATTGTGTAGGCTTCAGGTCCTACAAAACCTGGATTGGCCTCTGGGACACACTCATTAGCAACCCAGAAAAGATCTGACAAGCTTTTCAGTTCAAAGAGGCATAGGCTCTGGTAACTTTATCATTACCACGAATTTCATCCCACTAGAGGCTGAGCACATTACTTTTAACAGGTTGTAAAGAAGATATCTTACTCCCTGTCTCTAGCCACCAGCAGTGAGAAAGGGAAAAGACGAACAGGGTACAAAAAATAAGTCAGTACTACAGTTCGGTTCCGGCATCAGTAGCTGAGCAATTATTCTCCCCAAAACATGCACCACTTTTTCATTTGGGTAAAATCAGAATGGCAGAGTTGGAAAATAAGATTATTTTTCTAATCCAAGTATCCACTTAATCAAGAATATCCTCTAATAAATGGCCATATCTATTCACATGTACTTAGGATAAAAGGTAGGATGGTGAAATGCTTGTATTTCTCCCATTAATGTTTCAGTCTGTGAGAGCAAAGACTTTGGCTTATATAGAGGGTCCTTAGTTTTCTCTCCTGTTCCCAGACTCCAGCTATAAACTACTATTCTGTCAAACTACTAGACCATGTATGTTCTCTTTACTCATAGGAGAGTAAAGTTGTTAGAAATCTCATTCTTGGCCAGAAATATCAGAAGGCTTTTCTGGGCCAAGTCAGGCCTGAAGACATATTTTGTTTAGCTAAGGCTGTATTTAAATTTAATTGTTAACATTTTAAAATCAAGGGGCTTCATATAAAAATTTGTATTTTCAGCTTCTCTTGACAAAGATCTGGCAACACTGGGGCCTACCGCATTCGTGCAAGAGAGTAATCAGCAGGCACTGGGTAGTGGCTGCCCTCTTTACAAAAGTATGCCATCCATTTCCAGTTGGCTATACTTCCCACCTGGCACTCTTCACCCTTTTATGTAACTTGCCTAGTCTGTACAGGCATCTGAGTTGTGATCTCTGGGCTGAGCAAACAGAAATGTGATCCACGTGCATGTGGAGGATAGTCCAAGAATGACAGCAGTAAAAAGTTTCCCATTCAGGACCGGGCAAGGTGGCTCACACCCGTAATTCCAGCACTTTGGGAGGCCGAGGTGGGCAGATCACCTGAGGTCCGGAGTTTGAGACCAGCCTGACCAACATGGAAAAACCCCATCTCTACTAAAAATACAAAACTAGCTGGGCAAGGTGGCGCACACCTGTAATCCTTAGCTACATGGGAGGCTGAGGCAGGAGAATCGCTTGAACCCGGGAGGTGGAGGTTGTGGTGAGCTGAGATCGCGCCATTGCACTCCAGCCTGGGCAACAAGAGCAAGACTCCATCTCAAAAAAAAAAAAAAAAAAAGTTTCCCATTCAGACAAATGGGCCATCTAGAAAAAATGTTGGATCCATACCCTATACACTACACTAGCACAAACTCCAGATATGTCAAATATTTAAATATAAACAATAAAACCATACAATGATTCATTTATAACCTAAGCAGAAAAAAGACACTTTCACTATGACACAAGATCTAAAAGACTGATGAATTCAATTTTTATAAATGTATGAGCCAGGCATGGTGGTTCATGCCTGTAATCCCAACAACTCCAGTGGCCGAAGTAGAAGCATAGCTTGAGGCCAGGAGCTAGAGACCAGCCTGAGCAACACAGTGAGACCCTGTCTCTTTAAAAAAAAAAAAAACAAAAAAGGCAAAAAAAATCACCAGATAAGCCAAAAAGAAAATGACAAACCGGAAAAAATATCTGCAACTCATTTTTGTGGGTTTTTTGTTTGTTTGTTTGAGATGGGGTCTCACTCTCTCGCTCAGGCTGGATTGCAGTGGCATGATCCTGGGTCACTACTACCTCCGCCTCCTGGGCTCAAGTGATCCTCCCACTTCAGCCTCCCAGGTAGCTGGAATCATAGGCATGTGTCACCATGCCCGGCTAATTTTTTGTATTTTTGGTAGAGACAGGGTCTCACCATGTTGCCCAAGCTGGTGCAATTCATTTTTGTAGTTATTTTCAGTAAAACATAAAAGAGCTCCTACAAATTAAAAGACTAAAATTCAATAAGAAAAACAAAGGGGCGAGACACAGTGGGTCAACACCTGTAATCCCAGCACTTTGGGAGGCTGAGGCAGGAGGATCCCTTGAGCCCAGGAATTGAAGACCAGCCTGGGCAACATAATGAGACCCCATCTCTATTTAAAAAAAAAAAAAAACTTGTAAAAAAAATTTAAAACACACAGAAAAAAGAAGACATAAATATGGCAAATGAGACAAGGTGCTCAACATCGTTGATCATTAGAGAAATGCAGATCAAAACTACAATAAAATATCATCTCCCCAAGTTAAAATGGCCTATATCCAAAAGACAGGTAATAACAAATGCTGTTGAGGATGTGGAGAAAAAGATAATCCTCTTTTGGGGGTTATACTGTTATCATTTTTCACCTATTAGAATAGCACAGATGAAAAAGTTTGATTACACAGTATGATGGTAAAGATATGAGGAAACAAGCATTCTAATATGTTGTAAGTATATTAGGACTGTAAATTGTAAGTATATTAGGACTTCTGTCTAGGGGAACGAGATAACATCAAAGTTTCCCTTTGACCTAGCAAATTCTAGGAATATGTCCTGTAGATATACTTGCTTTTATATGAAGTCACTTAGAGACAAGGTTATTCATTGCAGTGTTGTTTATTATACCAGAAGTAAAACAAAACAAAAAATGTCCTAGAAATAAACAGTTTAAATAATCAGTAGGAATAGGGGACTAGTTCAATAAATAATAGTAAATCCATACAGTGGAACCCATAAAGTTATTTTAAAATAACCAGGCCTCTGTGGAACATTATCCAAGATATGCTGCAAAGTGAAAAGTGCAGGATGTATAGTACTGAAAGTATGGCTCCTCATACACTTTAAGCAAATGTTTATAGTTAGACTGGAAATTTTTCATTAAAAATACCTCTTAATTAGTGTTTTGAATAAGTGCCATTTTCATGTGGTTGCAAATTCAAGTCACAATAAGGGGTCTGGACAAAGTTGGCTCACACCTATAATCTTATACTTTGGCAGGCCAAGAAGGGAGGCTCCTTGGCAGTATTTTATTATATAAAATACTATATTTTACATAATTTTATTATATAAGCATTTGACTCAATTTCTCTGCATTTATTGTATTGGTCTGTTCTCACGCTGCTAATAAAGACATACCCAAGACTGGGTAATTTATAAAGGAAAGAGGTTTCAACAACTCACAATTCCACAGGGCTGGGGATGCCTCAGGAAACTTCCAATCATGGCAGAAGGGGAAGCAAACATGTCCTTCTTCACATAGTGGCAGCAAGGAGAAGTGCTGAGCAAAAGCGGGAAATGCCCCTTATAAAACCTTCATATTTTGTGAGAACTCACTATCACGAGAACTGCAGCATGGGCATAATCGCCCCCATGATTCAATCTCATCCTACCAGGTCCCTCCCACAAATGTGGGGATTATAGGAACTACAATTCAAGATGAGATTTGGGTGGGGACACAGCCAAACCATATCAGCAAGGCTACAAAGATTTTTGTTGCCACAGGGATGAAAACTGGGTGGCTGGAGATGAAAGGGAGATTTTTCACTGTGTACCTTTTTGTGACTTTTGTTGTTGTTGGGACGGGGGTCTTGCTACGTTGCCCAGGCTGGTCTAAAAACACCTGGGCTCCAGAGAGCCTCCCTCCTTGGCCTACCAAAGTAGTAAGATTATAGGTGTGAGCCAACTTTGTCCAGACCCCTTATTATGACTTTTGAATTTGCAACCACATGAAAATGGTACTTATTCAAAACACTAATTAAGAGGTATTTTAAATGAAAAATTTCCAGTCTAACTATTAAACATTTGCTTCTAGTGTTAAAAAATAAAAAATTAGGCTGAGCGTGGTGGCTCACACCTGTAATCCCAGCACTTGGGAGGCTGAGGCTGGCAGATCACCTGAGGTCAGGAGTTTGAGACCAGCCTGGCCAAAATGGTGAAACCCCATCTCTACTAAAAATACAAAAATTAGCCAGGAATATTGGTGGGTGCCTGTAATCCCAGCTACTAGGGAGGCTGAGGCAGAAGAATCGCTTGAACCTGGGAGGTGGAGGAGGTTGCAGTGAGCCGAGATCACGCCACTGCACTCCAGCTGGGGCAAAAAAGGGAGACTTCATCTCAAAAAAAAAAAAAAGAAAAAAAATTGCAAGTATTAAACACACTGATACTATAAGAGGAAGGGCATATGTATACATAACAAAAAGCTTAATCACAAATTTG